AAGATGAAAGAACACATAGGGTAAAGCTCCTTGATGTTGGTTTGGCAGTGAAATATATATAAACACCAAAAGCACAAGCAACCAAAGCAAAAATCAACAAGGGGGACTACATCAAATTGAAAAGCTTCTGCACAGCAAACGAAACAATGAACAAAATGAAAAAGTAACTTATGGAATGGGAGAAAATAAATAGTTGCAAACCATATATCTGATAAGGGGTTAACATCCAGAATATATAAGGAACTTCATAGTAAAAAAAAAAACAACCATAATGAAAATATGGACATAGGAGTGGTCAACAGATTATTAAGCATCAATGAAATGCAAACACCTGAGATGAACAATGAGATACCACCTTTTACCTGTTAGAATGGCTGCTATAAGAAAGACAAAAGATAGCAAATTTGTTGAGAATGTGGAGAAAGGGAACTCTCATGCACTGTTGGTGGGAATGTAAATGGGTACAATCATCACGGAAAAAATATAGAAGTTCCTAAAAAAAACTTAAAACTACCATATTATACAGCATTCCCACTTCTGAGTATCCAAAGGAAATGAAATCACTATCTTGAAAAGATATCTGCATCCAGAGGTTCATTGCAACATTTTCTACAGTAACCAAGATATGGGAACACCTATGTGGCATACCATCAATAGATGAATGGATCAAGAAAATGTGTGTGTGTAAGGGAATGTTATTCACCCATAAAATAGAAGAAAATCCTGCTATTTGTGACAACACAAATGAACCTGGAAGACATTATGCTAAGTGATATAAGACAGAAAGACAAATACTGCATGATCTCACTTACATGTGTAATCTAAATGAGTCAAATGCGTAAAAACAGAGTAGCACAGTAGTTACCAGGGGCAGGAAGGTGGAGGAAATGGGGAGATGTTGGTCAAAGGGTACAAGGTTCAGTTATGTAGGATAAGTTCTAGAGATCTAATGTACAACTTGGTGACTAGTTAATAATACTGTATTACATACTTGAAATTGACTAAGTTGGCATTGTTTTTGTCTAAGTACATGAAATTCAGTTGAACTAATCTTTTTATTAAGCATATACTACTTGCAAGAGATGCCTGGAAATAGTATGTTTAGCTTATTTTGACTAAATTTTTGTTGTTGTTAATTTAGCCTGTTTGTGCAATGTTTTGGTCTATAATTACTGGGCAGAGAAATGAGGGAAATTACATTGTAGCTGGAAAATTTTCCTCTGTAGATGCTTTTATTTGTGTGTACAGAAAATGTAAATAGTCATGGCAAAAGGCTTTATCTGTGATTTAATTTAAAAGCCATGGAATCAGTACCATTTCATAATATTACATCATTAACTTATAATTACTACTAATTTACTAAGTGAAGGCAGTACAAAACTTCTAAATCCTAGCAGTGCCAAAGTAATATAATAATGGCTGTTGTTTACTAGTCAATTCAAAATTGTTATTTTTTTTTTTAGCAAAGTAGAAATTAAGCTGGCTTTCTAATTTGAACTATGTCCAATAGTAAATTTCAATATTTTAAAGTAAAACATTTCAGCATTATGATGGTACCTTTAGTGAATTAGTAATCATTTAGGTTTAAGAGATGCTGCTTCCCTTAATGTGCCATCTTAGTTAGAGTCAGATTGATTTAAATTTACTTCCCAGTGTTGATTTACAACTATAGGATAGTGAGAGCCAATATAGCTTTTAGTTCTGTTGAGATAGGGTCATTCTTGGGAATTAACAGTATCAGAAGAAATGCCTCAGAGATTATTTAAAAAAATATACAAAACTGAAGAAAAGGAAACTGAATACAGAAGAACCCTGTATTATCTTAAGTCCTCATTTTTTAATTCATATATACTATGGTGATAGCTTTGTTGCAGAATTATAACTGTAAAAATGTTACGTAATACTTAGCTTGCTCATGATTGGGCCACCTTGTAGCACTAAATACAAAAGGTATTGTATTTATCCACTGTGAAATAATGTTTCTTAATATTATGAGGATAAATGAAATATGTTTGAATTAGCTTTGAGCATACAGTATGTCATTAGTTTCATAGTATTTTTGTGAAGGAAGGATAGGTGAGCAGGTGGCAAAGATTGTGGAGGGAGGTTATTTTTGTCACAATATTTAGTTTACAAATTAAAGCAAAATCACACAATTGAATTAATAACAAAGCCTGAATTAGAGAAAACTGTCTCTCAAGCCTCTCCTTGCAAAGTTCTTTAACTAGAGCATGTTGTTCCAAGTAATTTTGACAAATTTGCCTCATATTTGTAAAACTTTAATAGTCATCACCATTGCAAGGAGCAAGAATGTATGTGCCTTTTTAGGAGTCTGACTTTAAGAAGACCCTATATACAAAAATCCCATGTTATAAATATGATTTATAGAGTTCATAGTTTTACTTTGCTCTTCACAATTATTCTTTACAATATGGACTTCCATTGACTAATGAAAATAGTACTTTTTTTCTTAGCATTTTATAAACACAATAAATTATGTATTTTAAGGTTTAGCATAAGTGCAGTTTCATTCATAACTTTCCAGTCCACCTGAAAGTGATTTTTTCCCAATGGAAGTCCATACTGTTCCTTAATTTCTTGTTTATCACAGTCTTAGAACATTCGAATAGTCTATTATTGTAGTTATTGATACATATGATTTCTTATTCTATTGGATTATCATCTCCCACGTTTTATTGTATATATTAAGTGTTTAATAAATATTAAGTAAGCAAAAGTTTACATTAGTCAGTGAGTGAAACTCAAGGCAGAAGAAGAGAAAAATGAGTGAGATTCTCTTCCAGTGGACTAAGGGGGAAGAGGAGGGGGATTACATTTTCAATCTGTATTTTCCCAATCTTTTACTCCCAAATAAGAATTACTTCCTAGTCAGCCTCCTTTTAAAAGGACTATATTGTAATCTATGCACATAGTAATTGTGTGTGTGTGTGTGTGTGTGTGTGTGTGTGTGTGTGTGTGTAAGAGAGAGAGAGAGAGAGAGAGAGAGAGAGAGAGAGAGAGAGAGAGAGAGAGAGAGAAAAGGAGGAAGGAGTGCCATAAAAGGTGAGGGAGGGGAAAGATCAAAATAATCAGAATATAGAACAAAACAATATGCCTGCATTCTTGTATAACTGGTAGAGAAATATAAAAGGGAGTGTGCATTAGGCACACTAGAAACAAAAGCAGATTTTATAAAAAATATCTACCCTATTAAAGCATGATTAAAACTTCTTTTAGTATTGAGGCCCTTCTGTATATTGTTTTTTTTTTTCCTTTTTATTGACTTATTGGGGTGACATTGGTTAATAAAATTATATAAGTTTCAGGTGTATGATTCTATAATATGCTATCTGTATATTGTATTGTGTGTTCACCATCTCAGGCCAAATCACTCCTTCTATATATTCTTGCTTCTGAATGAGACATTCTTTCAAGTTTTTGGCAGACATCAACCAGGGTCAATGGTAATTGACAAAAACTGGCCCCTTCCCTCTGGTACCCATCACACTGTTGTTTGTGTCCATGAATTTCAGTTTTATATACCACATAGATTGTCAAATTTAAAAAGTGACAGCAGTCAATACAACAAAAGCCAGATGGTATGGAATGAATCAAAATTATACTTTTTTTTTTCAGATCTGCCAAAAAATATATATTTTTTTGGTGTACTGCAGAATTTTAGTAATTAGTTTATGTGTGCCATGAGATGAAAAAGGTTAAAAATTGCTGGTATATGTTCTGCTTTGATAGAAAAAGGCTAGCCTGCATGGCACATTGGAATGTGGAAAACAACCTCTTCTGAAAGTAACTGTTGCATATCCCCTTCTCAGCTTTTCCTTCAGAAACATTTTACAGCCTCGCTGTCCTAGCCTTTGTTTCTAGGGATCTCTTCTTGACAAAACAGGTAATATCTTTAGAAAACAGTGGTAGATTTGTGATTTGTTGACTGCTTTATTCAAGGCTCATCTAAATTGAGAACTAGTAGTTCCTTTGCTTCTTGCTTTGTGGAAGAGAAGATTCTGTTCCTGAACGCATCCATTCTTTTTCCTCCCTTTCAGACAAAACAACTTCAAAAACTTCTCAGGCTAAGGAGTTCTTGTCAGAACAAACTTTTATTTGAAGAACTAAGATGCTTAGGGATGTTTAGCAGCAGCTTATATGAATTACAGCAGAATTGATATATTAGAATGGAAAAAAGAAATTCTCAAATTAGCTAAGCCCATTTTACCCACTGTTAGATAGTATTAAGTGTACATTATCCAGATAAAGCTGGATTCTTTGCTTTATAAAATATACTGGATCAGTCCTGGCTTATATGATTTATGCACTTTCTATTCATCTCAGAGCAAATATAAAAACAGCTAAATGAATCTCCTAATTAAAAAGTGGCTTACCACATTCTCAAGACAGTTAATATAGAAAATGTTCTGCATTTTATTGTGAAAATTACTAGTAACTGTCAAAATTGGTGTGTTTTTTTAAGTTCCATGACTGATATTTTATAATTGTTGAACACAGATATCATTTTACTCAGTGGCTTTACTTCCAATAATGATTTTGTTCATGACATCTAGAACTCTGGAAATAGGTGGAATTAGTAGGTATATTATAATTTTTCCTTTAAAATGACTTCAGTTTCATCAGGGAATATAAGCTCAGAATGCTGAATTGCAGCTGTTATCTCAGTGTACACAGCTTTGAGTTCAGAGATGTTCTGCATGATAGAGAAGTGAAAATAGTATTCTTTTAAATGTTACTGCTTAATTTTATGTTTGTTTTGTGGTTCCCAAGTAACTGTTTTTTTTTTCACTGCCATCTCCCTAAGTGTGCACATAAAATATTCAGTAGATTTTTGAAATTTGATCTTTAAAGCGCGATTCTTTGCCTTATAAAATATACTGGATCAGTCCTGGCTTATATGAGTTATGTCCTTGTCATCTATGAAGAGAAGTTGCTCTGTACAGCTTATCTTCACCTTTATTTCTCTTCCTCCCTGACAGAATCCCAAGGACTGCAGCAAAGCCAAGAAGCTAGTGTGTAATATCAACAAAGGCTGTGGCTACGGCTGTCAACTCCATCATGTGGTCTACTGCTTCATGATTGCATATGGCACCCAGCGAACACTGATCTTGGAGTCTCAGAATTGGCGTTATGCTACTGGTGGGTGGGAAACTGTGTTTAGACCTGTAAGTGAGACCTGCACAGACCGATATGGCATCTCCACAGGACACTGGTCAGGTAAGAAGCCTGTGTACAGCATGTCAGATTCTCTGGGTTGAACTGCCACATAACCAGATCATCAGATTTCTTTGTACAACTTTATGGTTCATAGTCCTCTTTTTCTCTGAATCCATGAATGCTGTGCATTATCCAGATAAAATCTAAAACAATATTTTATTTAAAAAGTGTTTCACGATCTATTTCATTTTTCATGTTTATTTTCATCTGGATTTAGCAAAATCACTAAGCTTATTCAAGGAATGCAATTTACTCTTACGATGATGATGATGGTGATGGTGATATACCTTTCACTTTTTAGGGTGATTCCACACTATTGACTTCAGTTAATTCTCATAATTATCTTGTAAGTAACATTGACCTGAGGTTTTAAAACTTCAGCATGCCTGAGACTCACCTGGAAGGCTTGTTAAAACAGTAGGACTGGGTGGGGCCTGAGAATTTACATTTCTGACAGTTGCCAGACCCAGGGACCAAACTTTGTGAACCAGTGAGGCACCTTTATCTCTGTTTTACAGTTAAGGACAGTGAGGCCTAATTTGATTATGCAATTTTACATTTTATTCAGGAAAATTTTGATAACAAATAGTGTGATTAAGGTACTATACTAGGCATTATAAGTGATATAAAGATCAATAAGAAATTTCTCTCCTAAGTTCTAGAGCAATGATGACGAACCTATGACAAGCGTGTCAGAGGTGACACGCGAACTCATTTTTTTGGTTGATTTTTCTTTGTTAATTGGCATTTAAATATATAAAATAAATATAAAAAATACAAGTCTTTGTTTTACTATGGTTTCAAATATCAAAAAATTTCTATATGTGACATGGCACCAGAGTTAAGTTAGGGTTTTTCAAAATGCTGACACACCGAGCTCAAAAGGTTCGCCATCACTGTTCTAGAGGGAATAGAATATATAGTTTCTTATTGCAAGTCTATTTCTGCAATGATGATCTTTAAACAAGGTCTAAAATTGGGGTACCTTTGCTAAAAATACTGGCTTTAACCCTGACCGGTTTGGCTCAGTGGATAGAGCATCGGCTTGCGGATTGAAGGGTCCCAGGTTCGATTCCAGTCAAGGGCATGTACCTTGGTTGTGGGCACATCCCCAGTAGCGGGTGTGCAGGAGGCAGCTGATCGATGTTTCTCTCTCATCAATGTTTCTAGCTCTCTATCCTTCTCCCTTCCTCTCTGTAAACAATCAATAAAATATATTTTAAAAAAATAAAAATTAAAAAAAATACTGACTTTATCATTATGTAATTTTGAGCAAGTTACTTAACCTAGACCTTAGTTTCCTCATCATTAAAATGAAAAGTAATAATTTACTTACCTCTTTGAGTTGTTGTAGGAGTAAATGAAATAATACATGTGATGTACTTAACACAGCACCTGATATATGAGCTCTATTAATTGTTAGCTATCATTAATAGCCTTTATTCATTGAACAAATACACATTGAGTGTCTATAGTGTGGAAAATACTGAACTAAGTTATTAGATGAAATGCTGAGCAAAACAATAGACTGTCTCTACACTCACATTTTGTGGGAAGTCAAACTTTTCAAAAGGCTGAGACAGTTCAGTTAATATAATTTCTCATGGAGCTGACCACTTTTTCCACAAGTTAAAACACTAGATGTGGAATAGGGAGCCATGTCATTGGCAAAGTGATAACTTTAGTTCCTTTGTTTCTTTTTGCCTCCTTTGGAAAATATCAGATAATACCTGATGCTTCACAGAAGTGGTCAGAAAAGCTAATTGGATAATTTCTATAAAGTGCTTTAAAAGGTTCTATATGGATTTAAAGTATTATCTTGTGATGTGAGTTTTGTCTTCATTAGGATGATTTAAGAGCCTTATTCTATATATCAAAAAGTGAAAAGTTGGCCTCACTAGACTTATCAAATTTAGTGTATAGCTAGGCCTTGCCTGTATGCTACAGCTAGTTATTTGGTTTGTTTGATTTTTAATCCCTATATATTTTGTACGTCAGGATATGAAGATTAAAATGACTTGAATTTGAAACATTCAGAATTTCTTAATCTTAAAATTAAATAGGTTCTAGAAATCATTCTTTATGTGGAATCTAAGGCCTAATAGATAATAAGTTACTTATACAACTTATAAATAACAGAACTCTGATTAGTACTCTTGCTTGTACCTACCTCCAGTCTAAGTCCTTCCCAGTATACACATGCCAGGCACCTTACCTAACAGAATAATGATCAGAAACATAGAAATTCCTAAATGTTTGGGAACTAAATAAAATGACTAATTTTAATATCCCTACCCTCTTATTTCCTCTATCCTGTAACTTTTTCCAAACTTTCCATATAATTTCCAGTACTGAAAAGTTTTCAGTGGTATTTTACTCTGTCATTTGAAGTTCCTGATTAAAGAAGTTATTTTATCATGGTAGCACAGAATTATAATTTTAATTAAATAGATCTTTCCTTTATCACTACAGGTATTGTATAAAATAATATATTTTTCTTCATGCCAGTCAATTAAACTGCCTTTTGGACACATTTAATTAATGGAACTAGTGATTATTTTCAATATGCTTGCAGAACTTATCATAACTAAAATAATTTAGATGATAATCTTGAATCTAAAAGAAAAAAGATTTATGTTTGAGCATAGCAAAGTATGGTTCCCATCCATTTCTGTTTCTGTTTATATATTAGTACATTATCTATGTATGCACCTTTTGGAAAAACTAACCCATTTCTAGATTTAGAGAAACAGAATGAAATTTAATAAGGTCTTTGACATTAATTCTTTAGTTAGCCATACATCAGTTGTATCTGCTATTGTTCTGACTTGTACAGAGAATCTTGGGATATTTCTTTTGGCACAACTGTCACGAAATTATTATTGTTCATACGTACTTGACATGATGTGCCTGCAGGTGGAATTTAGTGTTCAATTCCTGTTCAAATCTGTCACCAGTACAGGAATTAGTATGCAATCTAATCATTTCAGTAGCTAAATCATACCTTGTAGGTGGAGTTCTATTTTTCTTCTTCATTATTTTATATTTGTATATGAAACTGTATCCTATATAGTAATTTGGTCAAGTGAAGCAAAATATTAAAAATTATGCTTCCCATTAAAATTATCATAATATTTTCCATCATCTATTGATGTTTATTCTAACATTGCTGATAAAATAATCAATTTAATTTCTTATATCACAAAATGTTTCCTAAACCTAAACTAACTATATATAACAGGTGTGATTCTTCCTAATAGATTACTTATGATAATTCAGAATGGGAATCTTGGTATTTAATGGTTTGAAATATCTTTCAACAGTTATCAATTTGTTTAAAGTACATTGACTGTTGTAGGCTATGTATGAGGACCAGCTTCTGAAATGCTTTCATAGTTGATATAAACACTCTTGAATAGATGACTTGGCAATAGAGAACCTCAACCATTTAAACTTAATTTTCTGCTGTTGCTTTGCTTTCTTTTTTAATTCTAAAAATAGAACATTCATTTAGATTAGCAATTAAACCACTTTGGCTATTTTGTATTTCCTTCTCATCTTTTCCCCACTGTCTTAATAAATATGCAATAAATTGAACTGAATTACTTAGTTTGATAGATCTAATTGAAAAACATTCTTTAAGTGAAAATAATGACTAGTAAGAAACAGTGTTTGTAGATGTGATAAAATCTAATGCCTTCGAGTACCTGTTTAGGTAGATTGCCATTTGCTATAGTATTTAGTTATCTAAACTGGACGGTTACTTTTTTTCCATACCTCATTTAAAAAAAACTCTTGCTCAAAGTGTTTTATTTGGAATCTTTATATGGAGGAAGCCTTAAAATTATTCTTTTCTAAGAATAATTTTAGAAAAGAATGTGCTATGTGCCAGACACCATGCTGGGCTACATGAAGGAGCAAAGAGGCAGGCAGCTGAATGAACAATTAACATATATTGAGATATGGGTAAATTGATAGTACTCTATCAGTAAATTTAGTTAAATCCATCCCCTCACATTGTTACACATATTTTTCTTACAATGAGAATTTTTAAAATTTGCTCTTAGCAACTTTAAATTTATAATACAGCATTGTTAATTATAGTCACCATGCTGTATATTACATCCCCAGAACTTGTCTTTTAATTGGAAGTTTGTACCTTTAAACCACCTTTCCCCTTTTCTTGAATCCCTGCACCTCCCTGCCTCTGGCAACCACCAAACTATACTCTGTGTCTGTGAAATTATTATTACTTTTTAGCTTCCACATATAAGTGAAATCATATAGTCTTTCTGTTCTGACTTATTTTACTTAGAATAATGCCCTCCAGGTCTTTTTTTTTAAATATATTTTATTGATTTTTTACAGAGAGGAAGGGAGAGAGATAGAGAGTTAGAAACATCGATGAGAGAGAAACATCGATCAGCTGCCTCCTGCACATCTCCCACTGGGGAGGTGCCCGCAACCCAGGTACATGCCCTTGACCGGAATCGAACCCGGGACCCTCCAGTCCGCAAGCCGATGCTCTATCCACTGAGCCAAACCGGTTTTGTACAGGTCTGTCTATGTTGTCACAAATGGCAGGATTTTCTTTCTTTTTCATGGCTGAATAATATTGCAAGATAGATGTATGGATGGGTGGATAGATAGATAGATAGATAGATAGATAGATAGATAGATAGATAATGTGGCTTAGAATCTGTAGCATAATATGCTAGTTAGGATAGGCTATGGATATGCTTCTCTGTAGTATTTTTACAGTAATATTTTCAATCTTTGTTGATGAATTAATAGAAACTTGAAATAAGTGCATGTAATATTTTAGATTCCTTATGCTGATGAAACATCTTGATTTCTCTGTTTATGTAATGTGAGAGAAGGGGAAAGTACACTGGACTTTCCATATTTAATCTTAGTTCTATTGTTTTTAGCTTTCAAAACTTCAGTAATTATAGTTTTTGAATCCCAGTTTAGCTCTGAAAAACAAAACAAAACTCATG